GAACACAGCATGCTCGTCGCACTCATGGTCATGTATCGGCGGTGTCGATTTGCATTAGTCAATATGCAATCACGACCCGCGAGCCAAATGAAATGGCGGACCTCCTGTGACCCCTCCCATTGCCATATCACTTTCCATAAACCTAACGTGGTGTTGAATATAAATCTTACAGGCAGCCGATAGTAGTGCCATTAATTTTATCATTTAGTCTATTTTTTCTAATTCGTTTCAAGTACGATATATGAGGGCCAAAACAGTTGCAATTTGCAAACGTGTTTAAATTGCAATTAAAATAAGGAGATTCCTAATCAATGTCAACTTCTTCTTTCCATGGAAATTTTAGATCCTTTTTCCTCTCAACCAACTTACTTGCCAAAGTATATCATCACTCGTCCAGACTTTGGTTTGACCAAACCTGGATTTTCTTTTACCTCGTATCTCTCCAAGACTGAAACAGCCTTCCTTATCTTCGTCAATCGTCAGACCCTACAAAAACAATAATGAGAGCTCTTAGTTTGGACTACTAATTAATCATCAGTTGTCGTTTTCACGTCATCATGAGATCAAATGGCTGCTCCAAGATTCTCGTGCGCCCACTCTGTTTCTTAATTCTCTTGGTATGATCAAAACAAATTTACGACTCTAATTGCACACATTATTGCTCTTATTAAAGTAATTGCTTTTTAATTAAATCCTGCAGGCCGTGTCGAGCGCGATCATCGTGAAGCTCATCTGCATGAGCAAGGCGAGCGAGCGCGTCGTGGACGTCCTCTCGGAGCAGCTCCTCAACGCTACCTTCTCGGAGATCGAGGCCGCCGCCCGCCACTTTGCGCCCCTCAACTCGTCCGCGTCCAGCCTGGCGCGCACCCTCGGCTCGTCCCTCAACGGCACGGAGCTCTCGTTCGACGAGATCCGGTCCCGCGTGGCCCCACCCCTCTTCCTCTCCCTCTCCGTCCTCCCCCAAGCTTCCCGCGCTTCCTACGCTGGCAACGACGCACTCACATTCTCCTACTTCACCGACAACGACAATACCTTTGCCGTTTTCTCCAATTCCACGGCATCATCGTGCTACGTCCAGCCGGTCAACCGGGACACGGGCAGGCTGTACGGGCAACCCGTCTCGTGCGCCCCGACAGCCTACGCAAACTCGACTATGGGGGCCTGGACGGAGGTGGATGAAAAGGGGAACCTCCAGTTCGTGTACGGGGCGGCCATGGACGGTCGGGGATACGTGACCGTGGGTTTTCCGGCGGTGGCTGTGGCGGGCCACTTTTCAGGGCTCAATTTCAACGGCGGGGATTTCCACATGGCGACGGCCGACGGGCAGGTGGTGGTCGGAAGCAAGCTTCGGGACACGCGTGTGGACGTGCGAAACGGGACGGTCTCGGTGGAGATGGTGAATGCAAAGGGTGAGGTGGTGGATAAGAGTGGGTACTATTCTTGCGAGGAGGAGGGAAGGCAGTCGATTCATTTTCACGCAAGGATTAAGGGGACGGGGCACGTGTTTTACTGCTCGGCTCTTCAGATAGGTGGGATTCCATCGGTCTACGTGCTGACCTTGCCCATAAGGGGATCGGAGGGTTTGGCCCACGAGAACCGAGCACTCATGATGACACTCCTCCTGCTTATATTAGTGATAATAGTGGTGTCCGTGGGGGGTTACGTGATCACGGCCGTGAGGTACGCCCGGCGAGAGATGTTTCTGTGTGCTGCACTCGTGAAGCAGATGGACTCGACTCAGCAGGCAGAGCGCAAGAGTATGAACAAGAGTCTCGCGTTTGCCAGTGCCAGCCATGATATCCGTGCCTCGTTGGCTGCCATAACCGGCCTCATTGATCTTTGCCTTGAAGACAAGAAAATCCACTCTAATATTGCTGCCAGCTTGGGCCAGATGAATAATTGCGCAACAGACCTCTTAGGTCAGTCCTGTTTTCTCAACCAAAAAAA